ATTCCATTAGCCGCCTTCCACTCTACCCTCTGGAACACAGACCCCACTATCTCAGCGGGTACCTTGGTGACATTCCCAGCTGAGGACAAGCACAGTAGCCGTAGAGAGAGAATGGCCCAGTGGTTAGGGCAGTAATTTAGGAGGCCTGCGTTCTAGTCTTCACTCGGCCACAGGTGACCTTGGGCAAATCTCTCAGTCTCTCCATTCCCAAGCTGTAAAATGGGAAGAATGGCCCTGCCCTACTGCGTTATCATAGCTGTGCCGTATCTAGAGCAGCTCACGTTCAGCATGACCGGGGCTGGGGGAAGCCTGGTACCTTGAGTGAATTCCAGCTTGGATCTTTACACTCCAGCAGCCTCCATTTCCCCCGGTAGGCGATGTGATAGTAGATGTGACAATCTCCTACACTTTCTGTGCTAATCAGGCGTGCTGTGTAGCTAGTGCCCAATGACTGTCACAGTCAAACCGAGACGGGGCTGCATTTCAGTGCTGGCTATGTATACACAGTCCAGGAGTGCAGGAATCTCTAGTGGAAATCTACACAGACCAGAAGACATCGAGAGAGAGGAGGAGAAAGACCAGTTCAAGGAGTCCTATGGAGTCTACTGGAATTTCCACTAGGGAGAAGAAATCCCCCAAATCTTGGTCCCAAGTTTAAAATCAACCAAGTCTTTTTGAAGGTTTTGAAAAGCCGAGAGAACTCCACCCCACTGAATTGTTTTTTGTTTTCACTGCACCTCATCCCTTCTGGGGTCTAGCTAGAAATGGAAATGGAAGAGCTGAAATCTCACCAGAATGGCTGCCTCGCCATATCGGCAGGTGGCCTGTGGTCAGGAAGTGCCAGCACTGCGGTGAAACTGCCTCTTCTTAGGGTACGTCTACACCGCAAACCCCCCTCCCCTGGGGAGCAAGTCTTAGAGTCTGGGTGAACTCACTCGGGCTCACGGTACAGGGCTAAAGATAGCAGTGTAGCCATTTCTGCTTGGGCTGGAACTGAGGCTCTGAAAACCGGTGAAGGGGGAAGGCCTGGAGCCCGGACTTCACCCTGAGTAGAAAAATCTTCACTGCTCTTTTGAGCACCACAGCCTGAACCCCGCGAGCCGGAGTCAATTTTTCAGTGTAGACATATTTATAGTTAAGAGGATCCACTCATTACATCAAATGTCTCCCCATTGGTCTGCGTTGTTCACAGGGTTAGTGAATGCCTCAGAGGAGTGTGGGGCTGGAATGAGGTGAGATTTCTTCTCCTTGGGAAGTTTACTGCACTCAGGAACTGAAACACTGACACGGATGTAAAGCTCTGTAGGGCATCTTTTCCTTACACGTGTGTACAGCACCTGGCACAATGGGGCTCAGTT